GAGGTTGGCCCAGGATCGAGCATTGTTTCGTTCTGCTGTGCATGGGGTCGCTATGAGTCGGTTCCGACTCGATGGCACCTGACAACAACAACAACCACTGTTACTCAAAATTTCACCTCAACCACTAAAGCTAGTCATGATGAAATTGAAGAATTTTACCAGCTTCTTCAGTCTGAAATTGTTCAAATATTCAATCAAGATGTATCAATAATTACTGATGATTAGAATGCAAAGGTTGCAAACAAAAGAGAGAAGGATCAATAGTTGGAAAATATGGTCTTGGTGATAGAAAATGTCGTCTTGGAGTGATTGCATGATAGAATTTTACAACCAATGACTTCTACATTGCAAATCCTTTTTTTAAACACCACATCATTGCTGATGTCTGATAGATCTTGGCTGAAAGCAGAGAATACCAGAAAGATACTTACACAGGAAAGGTATGTGTCAAGGTCGTATTTTTTCACCATAGTAATTCAATCTGTATAGTGAGCAAGTAATACAAGAAACTGGATTATATGAAGAAAAGTGGCAGGAGAATTTGAGGAAGACTCATTAACAACCTTTGATATGCAGATGACCCAACCTTCTTGCTGGAAGGAAACAAGATGTGAAGCATTTACTGATGAAGATCAAAGACTACAGTCCTCAGTATGGATTACGGTTAAGCATAAAGAATGTAAAAATCCTCATAACTGTATCAATATACAACATCACTATACATGGAGAAAAGATTAGAGCTGTCAAAAGATTTCATTTTAATTGGCTCCCCAAATAAACAATCATGGAAGCATCAGTCAAGAAATCAAATGCATTGAGCAAATCTGTTCCAAAGACCTCTCTAAAGTGTTTAGAAGCAAAGATGTCACAAAGAGGACTAAGGTGCACCTTGGTATTTCAACCCCCTGATATGCATGTGGAAGTTGGACAATGAATAAAGAAGAATGAACAATTGAAACATTTAAATTAATGGTGATTGCAAAGAATATTGACTATAACATGTATTGCCAGAGAATGGACAAATATGTCTTAGAAGAAGTACAGCCAGAATGTTCCTTAGAAATGAGGATGGTTAGACTTCATCTAATTTACTTTGGACATGCTGTCAAGCAGGACCAGTCCCTGGAGAAAGATATTATGTGAAGTAGAGGATCAGAGGAAAACCCTTAACAAGATGGATTGACACCGTGGATGCAGCAGCGTCACAACAATTCTGAGGACAACACAGAATTGGGCAGTGTTTTGTTCTTTTGCATATAGGACAATTATGAGTCAGGACTGGACAGCACCTAAGAACAGCAACAAACAAGGTGTAATTAAGAAAAATTTGTCATGAAAAATGAGAAGTGGTAAAGATATGAATCAGTTCCTTCCAGTTTTACCTTTATTGCCTTAATCATTTCAGTTTAGACTTTTTTGGGGGAGATGCATAAACACAAATAAAGTTAGGTAATTATGTTCATTTTTGCCTTCTTCTATAACAAAAATGGAAGGAGCTCTGGTAGCGTAGTGGTTACGAATTGGGCTGCGAACCTTAAGGTCAGCAGTTCGAAACTACCAGCCGCTCCGCGGGAGAAAGATGAGGCTTTCTACTCCCGTAAAGATTTACACCCTTGGAAACCCTGTACAGGGTCGCTATGGGTCGGAACCGACTCAACGGCACTTAACAACAACAACAACAACATAACAAAAATGGAGTCTTGGTGTGGTGATGTGGGTTAATGCTCTGGACTGCAAAGTTGATTTGAACCACAGGATCAGCCATTCAAACTCACCAGCTGCTCCTTGAAAACCCAATACAGGGTCTCTATGGATTGGAACTGACTTGACGGCACGTAACAACAAAAACAACATAACAAGAATATTAGATTTCAATTGTCAAATTACTTAATGGCACTAACATTACACACATGCCCATGCTTGGACACTTCTCTACTGTTTAGAAAATCTAGTAAAAGCAAGTTTTCTTTTACATTCGTTCTTCCACATGGAGATGCACCTTGTTTTTCTAACTTGTGATTTGGGTGAAAGTTTACAGAGAAAATTAGTTTCCATTCAATAGTTTATATACATTTTGTATCACAATTTTAGTTGTAATTTGCTGTATAAAAAATAGTAGTTCTTCCATTTCCATCCTTGTCCTTCTTTCCTGGACCTTCCTGACTTAGGAGTTTTATTTTGGGGTAAACGCTGTCCTTTTGCACTCAGGTTATTGTTTTGAGGAGTTCATTCCTCTGGAGTGTTATTATTCACTATATAAGTGTGTCTGTTGTTTGACTAGTAAGTGATCCTCAGAATATACTTTTTCTTCTTATTAAGTTAAATCCTTACTTTATCTTTATTTAGTTTATATTAAAGGAGTCCAGGTGGCAGAGTGGTTAAGTGTTTTCCTGGTTAGCCATTATGTAGGAGGAAGTTGTGACATTGTGCTTCTGTAAAGATTTACAGTCTTGGAAACCCCATAGGAAATTTCTACCCTGTCATATATCATCAATGGAGTCCTAGTGTGGCGCTGTGGGTTAATATGCCAGACTGCAAAGCTGTTTGATTGCAAGGTCGGCGGTTCAAGCTCACCCAGCTGCTCCTCGGAAACCATATACAGGGTCACTATGGGTCAGAATCAAGTTGACGGCACTTAACAACAACATATATCATCACTATGATTAAACTGTTTAGTTTGGATATGATGACTTACAGGTAAAATTAGATCTCACAGTCATTAAATCAATAGACCATAGCAAAACTCAGTCAAAATAAATAATAGAAAAGAAGGGGGGAACTTGTAAGATATCTTCGTTGTAGAGTAGAGATACTGAGTTCCTAAATTAATTCTTGATTTTTCAAACAATCAATACAAAAGGTAAAGAAACAGTGGCTTGTATAACTTTCAGTAGCTGGTAGTAGACTAGGAGGAACACTTCTTGTTAGCCTGAGTCAAAATGGAATGGGTTAGAGAAAGGGAATTACACCTAATAGATAAGTCTTTTCAGAGCTATATCACAGGCTTTTTTTTTTTTTTTTTTTTGTATTTTGAGTCTTCTAAATATGAATCTTAGTGTTGTGTGTACCTTATGTATGTAAACATATATAGAAACCAAGTATAAACAATAATTTGCCATAAAGTAATTGTGACTATATATCCACATTTTAAAACCACTGCAGGCAGCTGTATATATAAGATACATGCTAATATCGACTAAATGGACAGAAAAGTCACTACAACTTATTTGTAAATACTCATTCTTAGCCATTGTTGTTGTTAAGTGCCATTGAGTTGGTTCTGACCTGTAGCAATCCTGTATAGGCTTTCCAAAGAGCGAATGATGGGTTTGAACTGCCAACCTTATTGTTCAAACTGGCCTTGCAGTCCAAAGCATTATCCTGCAGCACCACACCAGGACTCCAGAAAGATTGACATTAGCCTAATTATAATTCTATCACATTTTTGCCACATGTCACATTTTCAAATTCCTTTCAAAGGTAAGTTTAACTATACAAGTTAATGTGCTAGACTGCAGGGTTGGTTTAAACTGTAAGGTTGGTGGTGTCAAGCTCACCTATACAGGGTCACTATGAATTGGAACCAACCCGACTGCACTTAACAACTTAACATCCTCCATACATAACAGTAGTCTTTCCTTAGTTTATCTCCCAATTTGTAAAAGTTTTACCGAATTAATTATTACAAGATTAAAATCACATATTATTAAGTGCTGTCTAGTCGGTTCTGACTCATAGCAACCCTGTATAGGGTTTCTGAGGAGTGGTTGGTGGGTTTGAACCACCAACCTTGTGGTTAACAGCCCAATGCTTATCCTACAGTGCCATAGCAAGACTCTTAAAATCACATCTATGTAATAAATATGGCAGGTCTGTATGTCTACATCCAGAGCCCTAGTGACAATAATACTTAAGCACTCAGCTATTAACCAAAGGTTGGCAGTTTGAACCCACCCAAGAATTCTTGGATTAGAAAGAACTGGTGATCTGTAAAGAGTACAGCCAAGAAGACCATATTGGACAGTTCTACTCTGTAATGTGGTGTCACTGTGAGTTGGAATCGGTACACTGGCACCAAACATCTAGAACACAGGTGTCTAAATGGACTTGACCATACAAGGAGACTTCTGAAAGTTTGTGAAAATTTTTCACTATCTTTTAATTCTGTTTTCCTTAAACTTTTGAAACCCCCTTGCATATAGTTGGGTTTTTTTTTTTTTAATTGCTTCTTGAGAGTTTCAGTCTTAGTTTTATAGATTCAGAAACTTTATTTTAGTAATTCATTCTTAGTTAATAAAGTCATGATGAATAGGTACAACAAAATTATTTAATAGGGGAAAAAGTGATGTGAATAATTTGAGTCAGATAGTATTGTTTCTGAGAATGAGTGTAAAATGTGTTTCTTGTTTAAAGTTACAAATAAACATTAAGTCTCATTAGGGAGTGAGTAGGGAAACTTAAAATGTATTAAATATGATTTTATGGATTAAAATTTTTAAGAACTTAAGGAGCTCTGGTAGCGTAGTGGTTACGAATCGGGCTGCGAACCTTAAGGTCAGCGGTTCAAAACTACCAGCTGATCCGCGGGAGAAAGATCAGGCTTTCTACTCCCGTAAAGATTTACACCCTCGGAAACCCTGTACAGGGTCGCTATGCGTCAAAACCGACTCGACGGCACTTAACAACAACAACAGGGAGTGAGTAGGGAAACTTAAAATGTATTAAATATGATTTTATGGATTAAAGTTTTTCAAGAACTATCATAAAATTAATTTGTCATTCTTTTGTTTCCTTTATTATAGCTTCCCAGAATCAAGAACGGTTATGTGCATTTAAAGATCCATATCAACAAGACCTTGGGATAGGTGAGAGTCGAATCTCTCATGAAAATGGGACAATATTATGCTCAAAAGGTAGCACCTGCTACGGCCTTTGGGAGAAATCAAAAGGGGACATAAATCTCGTAAAACAAGGCAAGTGATAGTTTTATTATCTGAAGTGACTTTGTTTTTCATGCATTTGAAGTTTATCTAAAAAGGAGATAGAGTAGAACTCTTGCCCAGAATGTCTCTTTGAGTATTATGTTGTTTTAAGATCTATCTGTATGGAATTAAGTAGACAATAGCAACTCCAAATAATCTCAAGAAATAAGAACCTTAGGAGAACAGTGAATTTATTTTAATAGAGAATGAACAACTCAAAAGGAAGGTGAGAAAGATTGAATAACTCGAAGATGTGCAGTGAGCTGTATATGTACTACTTTTCAATTGATGTATGTTTTATTCGGTATATGCTCAACAACAACAAAAAATAAAATAAAATATTAAAGTATTTTTTAAAGAAACCTCCAAGAAAACAGTTAATTTAAATAGATACATCCATTTATGTATTCATCTACCAGCCTCAAATTTACAAAGGACAAATTGTTAGCTTATTTTAATATTGTTCTTATTGCACCCACTGCTCATTTACCAACATAATTTCCAAAGATCAAGTTGTTGAAAAATGGAGAATGACCACACAATATCACAAAATAGAGGATGACTGTATCATTTTATTGACTCCTGGTATGAACCTATAGGATAAGCACTGGACTTCAAACCACAAGGTTGGCAATTCAAACCCAACAGCTGCTCCTTAGAAACCCTAAACAGGGTGGCTATGAGTTGGAAACCACTCAACGGCACTTAATAACAACAACGTATCACTGCATAACTACCCAATTATATCATTAACGTAACTGCCAAACCTATAAGAATCTTGATCCAACCAAATTGACAAATAACCTTAGCTATCAGACTCATACCTTGGTGTTCATTACTGGGCAAATCTGCTGCACAGGAACTTTTTAAAGTATTGAAGAGCAGAGATGTCAGCTTGAGGACTAGGGTGCGCCTGACCCAGGCCATTGTGTTTTCAATAGCCTCATATGGATGCGAAAGCTGGACAGTGAATAAAGAGGATCGTAGAAGAATTGATGCCTTTGAGTTGTGGTGTTGGAGGAGAATACTGAGGGTGCCATGGACTGCCAAAAGAACCAATAGATCTGTTTTGGAAGAAGTGCAGCCAGAGTGCTCCTTGGAGGCCAGGATGGCTAAGCTTCGTCTCTCCTACTTTGGACATGTAGTCCGGAGGAAACAATCGTTGGAGAAGGATGTCATGCTGGGTAGGGTGGAGGGTCAGAGAAAAAGAGGAAGACCTCCAACGAGATGGATCGGCCAGGTGGCATCATTGATGGACTCGGGGGTGGCAGCGTTGGTGAGGTTGGCCCAGGATCGAGCATTGTTTCGTTCTGCTGTGCATGGGGTCGCTATGAGTCGGTTCCAGCTCGATGGCACCTGACAACAACAACAACAACAACAACTTTCAAAGAACGAGCAGATGCATTGTGATGGGAAAAAATTTCCTGGCCTTTTTCTCACCAATGAAGCTTTCAATTTTCTTAAAACTTCCTTAATCTCTGTTTTTATCTATTTCCTTCCAGAAGTCCATCAAAATTACTTCTTTAGAGTTTTAAAAAATAGTTGCCATCCTTCTGTTGCTGACCTGTCTTGAATTTAACTGAAAGGTCCAGCAGATTCCCTAGGAAGCTACTGCTTTGATTGGACTTTTTTTTTTTTTTTTAAGGTACCTTTACAAAACTGAGTAAAAAGTACATTACTTGAGAAAATTTGTCTACATCCATTCACTAATCACAGAGACATGTTTCAACATGTTTTGATTGGAGTAAATTCATGCATGTATGAACTGAAACCTATACTTTTTGATTTCTTCTCATAATGATAAAAATTCTTTATTATACAATGCTTGGAAGATATAGACAAGTATAATGAAAAAAGTGTGTAGGTCTTAGTTTTAAAAATTGGCATCTCCTTCAGGTGTATTTTCTATATAACATATTTATATGTGTATGTTTCTTTTTTCAAAATTAGGATATTACTATATAAACAAGTCTTTTTTTTTTAATGTACTTTTTATTGTGAATTTGGTGGTGGTTTACAGAATATACCATCAGTTTTGCATCCAACATTTAGTATACATTTTGTTTCATCTGGCTGATTACAATCCCCTTATTGTAACATCACTTATCTTACTTCCTCCCTATTTCCTGTTGCCGTTACTCCTTTTCTAATCCTTCCAAACTTCATCCTTGGATAAACGCTGCCGTTTTGATCTCCACTGGTTGATTATTCTAAGGTGTGCATACCTCATTGTACCCTTTTTTAGTCTGCAATTGTCTTCATTACAAATTAATGTCTCTGGTCTCCTCTTTTCAGTCTTGTTGTGTTGTTTCATTTTCGATACTTCTGTATCTGGATTGTCTTCTAGGCGGTGGTGTCATGTTTTTAATCTCAGGATTTTGTCTACTATTGTTGGTTCTCTATCTGAAGTACTCCCTTTAGTATTTCTTATAAGACTGGTCTAGTTTTTACAAATTCTTCTAAGTACTGTCTATCTGGAAATGCCCTAATTTCACCACCATATTCGAGGGAAATTTTTACTGGGCACATGATTCTTAATTGGCAGTTTTTCTTTAAGAGTTTTATGTTTGTCATCCCATCGCCTTTTTGCTTGAATGGTTTCTTTTGAGAAAATAGAACTTAGTCTTCTTGGCTTTCTTTTGTAGGTAGCTTCTCATATTTCCCAAGTTGCTTTCAGGATTCTTTCCTTGTTTTAGGTTTTGGAGAGTTTGATTATGAGATATGTCTTGGTGATTTTCTTTTGTGGTTTATCCTGTTTGGGATTCCTTCAACTTCTTGAATGCATATATTGTCTCATCTTTCATGATATTAGAGAAGTTTTCTTCCAAGAACTCTTCAATAATTTTCTCTGGTTTTTTGTTTTTTGTTTTTTTTTTGGTTTCTTTCTGTTCTGAAATTCCAGTCATATATATTATTTCTCTTGATGGTATCCCTGTAATTCTGTTTTTGTTCATTTTTCTGATTGTTCCTCTAGCAGATTAGTTTTGTCCTCATGATCACTAATTTTGCCTTCCATTGATACAAATTTATTCCTTTGCCATTTGAGTGTATTTTCTATTTCTGAAGAAAAAACAGAAAAAAGAAAAGCAGAGAAAGAAAAGATTGAAAACAAGGGAAGTGAAAGAAAAGAAACAAGGATTGCAGGGACAGGACCTAGAGAAGAGAAAGCTGTAGGGTGGGTCACAGGACAATCTCTGCTAGCCAGAGCTCACAGGATGGGACGGAGGGATGAGTAGCTAGGATTGGTGGTCCTATATGTTGTTCCTATAGGCCTAGATTTTGTCTTGCATCATAGCATCTGATCTAGTAGTTTCATCCATCTTAGAAGGTATCTGAGGTCCAGGTGCTTGTTCCCAGAAGAAACTCTTATGTACCTGGAGGGCATCTAGGGACAGAGAAGCTGGTAATGGATGGAGGAGTTGGCCTCCAAGGAGTATCTGGGACTGTACACTGCATGTTCTGTAGGTCATTTACTCTCTTGTGTCTTTGTTGTAGAGGGTCTGTAAAGTATGTTTGTCTAGTCCACCTAGAAATCTATAAACAAATCACTTTTAAAAAATTATTAATTGAGTGAAGGTTTACAGAACAGAGCATCTAACAGATTATATTTAACAAATGAACTGCTTTGCTTAATCTCAGTGATTACAGCCCCCTCCATTTCACAACAGTTATCCTACTTCTTCCCTGTGGTTCTTATTTCCATTCTACTCTCCTGCCCAGCCCTTCTGAACTTTGTCCTTAAGTAAATGTTACCTTTTTTGTTTTCAATGCTTGACAATTTCATGGTGAGTGTACCTTACTACTATTGTTGTCCCCCCCTATAAACCTGTCTACCACGGTGTTGAAAATTGGGCCAAGATGGTTAGTTCATTCGGGTGGCCAGGGGCCATAGTCTGAAGTTCCTCCAGTGTCTTTCTGATCAGTAAGCCTAGTCTATTTTATAACTGGTTTTTTGTTGTTGTTGCACATTGTCTCCCACTCTATCTGAGACTTTCTAATGTTATTCCTTTCAGAAAAGTTGATAGTGGTAGTCAGACACTATCTAGTTCATCTGGTCTCAGACTCATGGAGACTGATGTATAAACAAATCTTACACTCATGTTTTTCTCATCTTAAATTATATCGTGAGTATTTCCCCATGTCTTTAAATAGTCACTGAAAACATAATCTGACACAAAATCTTGTTGTATGCATATATTGCACTTTACATGTATGTGGAATATGTTTTTAAGTTATATTTTAAGCTATAAATACATATCGCTGCATTGAACATAAATCTGTGATTATATATGATTATTTATTAGAATAAGATTTCTCAAAGTAGAATTAGTATATTATAAAACATACAAGTATTTTTAAGGCTCTTCATAAAAATTACCGTTTGAGTTTTTAGAAATGTTTATATAAGATTACATTCCCTTTAATCCTGTCTGAGAATATCTATTATTGACTTCTTGTTATATTCTTGTGCTATTATTTTTTAAACTAGAACAGTTTAATAGGTAAAGAAAAAAAATGAGATCTTAATGTTGCTTTAATTTGTATTTCTTAAACTAGTGGTGAAGTTAAGCATCTGATAGTGACTTTTGTGTCTGTGGTGGTTTGAATGCCTCTTCTATTCTTTCTGATTTTTCTGTTTCTTACAAATGTGTGTTTCCTATTAATCTGCAAGACAAAACATAGCTTAGGTATATTCATTTCTGACACATTTATTAAAAATGTTTCTTAATTGTTATTTTCCTTTTGGTTTTGTGTATCTTGTTGTCTCTTAACTTTTGTATATTCATATTGATTTGTAGGATGTTGGTCTCACATTGGAGATCCCCAAGAATGTCATTATGAAGAATGTGTAGTAACCACCACCCCTCCATCAATTCAGAATGGAACATACCGTTTCTGCTGCTGTAGCACAGATTTATGTAATGTCAACTTTACTGAGAATTTCCCACCTCCTGACACAACACCACTCAGTAAGTAAAGTTACTTATGTTTTTTGTAATTTCTTTTTTCTAAATATTTGAAAAAATACAAAAATATGTCAATATTCAGTGTTTACAGAGAGTGTTGATAGAGAGCATGTTACCGCCATAATACTACATTTGGCAAAAATCTGAAATACTAAAGATATATATATCCATCAGATGTAAGTTCTTCTGTCCTATGTGGTACTTAGGAGGAACAACCATTGAAGTAGTTATCTTTCTTTAGCATGTTTGACTTATAATTTGTCTTCCTTTAATCTTTTCCCATTCATTATGTTGACAGACAATAAGTATCAAATGTCTTCATCTTGTGACCCATATAAAACTAGGAAAACTCTGATAGACCAATCACATGACCATAAATGAGTATCTGTGAGTGGTGCTGTGGGCTAATGGTGTCAGACTGCAAAGTCGTTTGAACTGCAACATCAGTGATTCAAGCTCACCAACTGCTCCTTGGAAAGCCTATACAGGTTTGCTATGGGTCAGAATTGACTTGATGGCACTTCACAACAACAACAATGATATTGGGCACAGACTCTCACATTATAATAATTCCAAGATTCATTTGACCTAGAGTTTGGGAAGAGGACAAAATTTATACCATTCACCTTTATAGTCTTTTAAGTTTTTAAAATAAAAAATGTTTGTTCTTATAAAACTACATTACATAGCTATTTAAAACAATAAGATACAGAACAAATAAATGAAATTCCTGAAGGCTGTGTTCTCTGGGTTTTTTTTTTTATTTGACTGTTTAGCAGAATGAGAAGTCTGATGCTGCTTTTGTTGAAACTTAAAAGAATTGAATACTGTTGTTGTTTAGTGCCATTGAGTCAGTTCCAACTCATAGCAACCCTGTACAGGGTTTCCAAGGAGCAGCTGGTGAGTTTGAACCTTGATGTCGAGGGCTTATCCTACAGTGCCACATCAGCAGTTAATTATTAATGTTAGAAAAGATATATGGATTATATGTTGTTGTTGTTAAGTGCCGTCGAGCTGATTCCAACACATAGCGACCCTGTGTAGGTTTCCGAGGAGCAGCTGGTGAGCTTGACCGCCGACCTTGCAGTTCAAACAGCTTTGCAATCTGGATATTATTTAATTCCTATATAATATCCATATACTTGCATATGGATATTATATAGGAATTAAATTTATATTAATTAAAATTAAAGTTCTATTCATACTATAGATTGCAAATTATTTTTGGCTGTACTAAATGTACTGAGGAGCTCTGGTAGCCTAGTGGTTACGAATTGGGCTGCGAATTGCAAAGTCAGCAGTTTGAAACTACCAGCTGCTCCATGGGAGAAAGATGAGGTTTCTGCTTCCATAAAGATTTTCAGCCTTGGAAACCCTGTTTAGGGTTGCTATGGATCAGAACCGACTCGATGGCACTTAACAACAATAACAAGTATACTAGCTCTCTGTTCTCAAAAATAAACCTCAGCAAATGGAGTTTAAAGTATAGTTTACGTGGTATATTCCTCCCATAAAAATGAGTTTTCATCATTAAAAAAGGAAAGGAAACCAAAAGGAGGGTTTCCACCCCCCATTCACTGTTGTTAGCTGCCATTAAGTCTGTTCTGACTCAGCCACCCTGTAAATAACAGAAAGCGACACTTCCAAGTCTCAGCAATTGCTGTTATTCTTAAGCCCATTGTTGCTGCCAGTTATCTATCCATCTTGCTGGTGGTCTACTTTTTTGATGACCTTCCACTTTCCAAGCATGTTGTCCTTCTCCAGGGACATGTACCTCCTGACAATATGTCCAAAATACTAGAGACAAAGCCATATTCTTTTCTAAGAAGCATGCTAGCTGTACTTCTTCCAACACAGATTTGTTTGTTCTTAATAGTCTTTGCCGGCACCATCTCTATAGTTTTCCTTACTCATTGACTAACTATCACATACATAAGTGTGACTGAAAATACCATGGCTTGGGTCAGATGCACCTTAGTGTTTAAAGTGACACCTTTGCTCTTTAACACTTTTTTTTTTCTTCTTGCTTTAGCAAACAAAATTATTTTCTCACAGTTTTTAGGAGGCTAGAAGTCTGCATTCAGGGTACCACCTCTAAAGAAAGGCTTTCTGTCTGTGTTGGCTTTTTGGGAAGGTCCTTGTCTCCTTTCAGCATCTGTGAGTGCAGTGTTCCTTGGAAATCTCCATGTATCTTGGCATCAATCTTCACCTGGGTCCAAAGGATGTACTCCACTCCCAGCTCCTCTTCTAGGTGGTGCTGAGGTCCCTCTCTCTTTGCTCACTTCTCTGTCCTTTTATTTCTTGTAACATAAAAGGTGATGCAGGCCACACCCAGGGAAACTCCCCTTACATTGAATCAGGGCTGTGACTAGAGCCCTGGTGTGGTGCTGTGGGTTAATGTGCCAGACTGCAAAGCTGTTTGAACTGCAAGTGCGGCAGTTCAAGCTCACCTTGCTCCTTGGAAACCCTATACAGGGTCGCTATGGGTCAGAACTGACTTGACAGCACTTAACAACAAAAACAACATCCCACCCAATCCCCTTACAACTAACTGACTGATTATATCAGATCACAACATGGGGATGACTCCATCATTATATAAGTGTCAGATTACATCATTATTTAACTGCCAAACCACTGAGAATCTTGGCCCAACCAAGTTGTCAGATATTTTTGAAGAACACAGTTCAATCTATGAAAAGTCTTTCATATGGAGGTAATCATGATCATCTAAATATATATACTTACAAAAGTGGTTTTGTATAATATATTCCAATGCTCTTTAACACTTTAAAAGAGATCTTTTGCTGCAGACTTACCTGATGTAATATGTCATTTGATTTCATTACTGCTAGTTCCATGAACACTGATTGTGGATCTAAGCAAATGAAGTCTTTGACGATTTCAGTCTCTTTTCGATTTATCATGGTGTTATTTATTGATCCAGTTGTGAGGATTTTTGTTTTCTTTATATTAAGGTAAAATCCATACTGAAAGATGTAGTCTTTGATCTTCTTCAGTAAGGATCTTGCATCCTCTTCACTTTCAGTGAGCAAGGTTGTTTAATCTGCATATCAGAGGTTGTTAATAAGTCTTCCTCCATTCCTGATGCTATGGTAGTCTTCATGTAATCTAGTTTCTTGGATTATTTACTCAGAACACAGATTGGATGAGTATGGTGAAAAGGCTACAACCCTGGCACACACCTTTGCTGATTTTAAACCATTCAGTATCTTCTTTTAACAACTGCCTTTGGTCAATGTACAGGTTCCTAATGAGCACAATTAAGCGTTCTAGGATTCCTATTATCAGTGTTACCCATAATTTGCTATGATCTGCATAATCAATCAACAAAGGTATAATCAGTAAAGCACAATTAAACATGTTTATGCTATTGTTAACTTTCAGACAAGATCTAGCAATGAGATCCCTTATTCCATATTGTTTTCTCAATGTGGTTTGAATTTCTGGCAACTCCCTGTTGATCTACTGCTAGTCTTTTTAACATTATCTTTAGTAAAATTTTACTTGTATGTGATATTAATGATATTGTTTGATGATTACCACATTATATTGGGCCATCTTTCTTTGGAATAGACACAAATATGGATCTCTTCCAATGACTGTCCTGGCAGCTGTCTTCCATATTTCTTAACATAGACAGATGAGCGCATCAGTTTGTTGCAGGATTTCAATTTGTATCCCATGAATTCCTGGAGATTTGTTTTTGCTAATTCCTTCAGTAATGCTTGGAAGTCTTCCTTCAATACCATTGGTTCTTGAGCATAATACTTCCTCTTGAAATGATTGCTCATGGACCATTTCTTTTTGCTATAGTATATTCCTTCCATCTGACTGTTGTTCATTTTTTAATTTTTTTATTATAAATTGAGTGAGGATTTATAGAGAAGATCATCAGTTTTACATTCAACAAATTATGCACTTTGTTTCATCTCAATGATTGAATCCCCTACACACAACAACAGTTATCTCTTACATGCCTGTGGTATCTATTTCTATTCCACCCACCTTCTCATTCTTTTTCAAATTTGTCCTTAGGTAAATGTTGCACTTTAGATTTTGAATGATTGACAATTCCATGGTGAGTATACCTTACTAATGTTGTCCCCTCTATTACATCTATCTACTGATTGGCTGAAAATTGGGCTACATGAGTCAGCCAACTCCTTTTCAGACATGAAGTATGGTTGAGGGCCACTATCTCATGTTCCTCTCATTCTCATTTTGAATCACTAAGCCTGGTTTTTTTTTTTTTTGTGTGTGTGTGTGTGTGTGTGTGTGTTTTAAATAATAATTTTGAGTTTCCCATGTTTTCTCTCACTCTACCTGGGACCTTATAATAAAATCCCTTTCAGAGCAGTTGGTAGTAGTAGCCAAGCACCATCTAGTTTTTCTGATTTCAGTGTATTCCATCTTCTTTTGATGTGTCCAGCATCATTTAATATTTTGCCCATTTGTTGTTGTTAGGTACCATCGAGTCAGCACTGACTCAGTGACCCTATCTCAATAGAACAAAACACTGCCCAGTTCCGTGCCAACCTCACAATCACTACACCTGAGCCCATTGCAGCAGCCACTGAGCTAATTCATCTTGTTGGGGTTTTCCTCTTTTTCTCCAATCCTCTACTTTACCAAACGTGACTGGTCCCTCCTGACAATTTGTCTAAAGTATGGGAGACAAAATTTGGCTTCCCTGGCTTCCAGGGAGCATTCTGGCTGTACTTCTTCCAGTGCAGATTGGTTTGTTTTTCTGGTACTCAATGATATTTGTAATATTCTCCTCCAACTCAAATGCATCAATTCTTCTACAGTCTTCCTTATTCACTGTCCAACTTTCACATGCATATGAGATTATTGAGACTATCATGGCTTGGATCAGGTACACTTTAATTCTCAAAATGTCATCATTGCTCTTCAACACTTTACAGAGGTCATGTGCAGCAGATTTCCCTAATGCAGTAAATGCATCATTTGATTTCTTG